TTCGTACGGATTCATTGATTTTATTGATTATCAATTGAGCATTGATAATATTGACTATTGATTATATTGACATAGACATATAGCTCATGGATACTATTGAGTCTGCTGCATTAATTTGACTTGCTACTATGATTATCGTATTGCTTTCCGATGGATTCTTATATTGCTTTTCGATTGATGTTATCGACTTGATTGATTCATAGATACCGGCACCAATTTGATGTGATTCTGCGTATGATCAAGAGATTAACTGGACATTGATATAGATTGTACCGATTATACGATATCGTCGATATTGAAATGGATATGATATTGACATATGGAAATATTGATACGACAGATTCTGACATGATATTGATACATTGATACAGTATTCGTCGTACTGATTATCGATTGATTGATTGAATGATTGTTCGTATGGATTTGAGTTATCGGTAGAATAATTTTTTTATAGAGCTGATTTGTATTGATTCAATTGACCTGATTTTCGTTTGGATTTGTTTCATTGCTGGCTTGATTTGTTTTGATTCGATAGTTTACGGATTTCTACTGATGATATAATTGACTGGAGAGTGCTATATTATAAGGAAATACATCTCCTATGTAAGCATCGTACGTGTCATTATTGAAGTGCGTAGTGTCCTGATATCTGTGATTGATATCTTGAGTAAATCGTATTGAATATTGATGCTAATTTTAAGAGTACTATTCTGACATGAGTCCTTATTGAATTAATTGATGCTATTGATGCTATTATGACACAGACATTCTATTGATTGGATAGATGAATATATGATACACCGAATGACTAGAAGACGCGATTGATTGGATGTCTAATTAGGCCTTCAAACGGATTGAGCTGAGCTGGACCAAGTAATGAAGATACATATAATATTTAAGATAATTATTGTTATCCTTAAATTATGAGTAATTGAGATTAAGATTTGGTGTTCAATTATAGTTAACCATTAATTATCTATGTGATTAACTTTTTTATAATTTAGTTAATTAGAGATTTAGAGGATATTCTACATTAATTAGAGTTAAGATAATAATTCTTAACTTTTTTGAGTACTTCCACTCATATTTGATCAAAATTATGAGTTAGGCATTGGATTTTTTAATAAGCTCCTGCTACCAAAGCCACTCTGAAGAATTCTTATTAATCTATTTGTACTTCGATGGCTCTATTGGAGAATTAATCAATCAATAATTTTCTACATAAATATATTATTATTTAGGGGATTTACATACATATTACTTTATTTGATGCTATTTACATATATAATACTCAAAACTTTAATATTACAATTGATATATCATAAAAAAACTATCTTGATCGGGCACGAATCTCGAGGCAAAATCAGGCCAAAAGCTTCTAAAATTAAATATGGGATCACCTGAGCTCCGATTTCAGTAAACTTATAGTCGGATTGAGCGTCTCAGAAATACAAACCCAATGAGACCAAATTCAACTCAATTCGATCCCAAATGTGTCTAAATCGAAGACCCGAAACGCTATTGGGAAATTCAAACCACAATTTAAATTACCAAACGGTTTTCAAATATGACATGCTTATAGTCGAATCGAGCGGCTCGACCAGACAAATCCAATGAGCCCAAGATTGCCGAATTCCAATATCATTAAGACCTTCAAATGTCTGACAAACGGTCATCGATAAAGGGAGTCAATATCAGTCGTCCATCCAAACCATTGCACATTTGCCCTTAATCCTTCTCCTATTTACGGGTCATGCCACCCTCAAAAAATATAAATAGCCCCTCATTTCTTTTAAGAGGGGACCTAAGTAAGAAGGAAGAAGAAGAATAATAGAAGAGAAGAAGAGGAGGGAAGAAACTCCTCGATCACAGGTGGAGTTCCGCTTGATTTTCAAGTGACGCCGGAGTTCCTTCAGACTTTCAAGTGACGTCGGAGTTCCGCCCAACTTTGAAGTGAGGCCGGAACTTCGCCCGATCTCCAAATGACGCCGAAACTCTGCCCGATCTCTAAGTGATGCCGAAGCTCTGCCCGATCTCCAAGTGATGCTGGAATGCTGCCAATTTCCAAGTAACTATGGAGTTTTGCCCCAATATCATCTAACGCCGGAGTTCTTCCCGGCCATCAATTGACGTCGGACTTCTACACGACGACGGACCTCCGCTTATCGTCAAATTTCTAACCGACGCCGGACATCTATTTGATGTTGGATTTCTGTCCATTGCTGAACTTCTACCTGAAGTCATCCTTCCGACCTCCATCGTTAGACAACGGTCCTTCCGACCTCTGTCGCCCGCCGACTATGATCCTTCCGACTTACGTCGTCCATCGACTACGATCCTTCTAACCAAACGAACATGCCTACAGTGACTCTTTGTATTCTAATCATGTACTTTATATAATGTACATCAAGCCAAGGCCTTCCCCTTAAGGAAGGGTCTCATTTGTAATCGACTGCAAATAATAGTGTATTCATTCAAATTGGACTGGGCTAGGCCCAGTGGTTTTTTTTTCCTTTTTACTAGTTTTCCACATAAAAATCTTGATGTCTCATAAATGTTATACCATCTCTTTTATCTGATTGCGTGTCAGATCTTTGTATAAAGTTAATATATTAAATTTTATATTTCTCTACCGCCGCGAATACTCCATGATGCAATAACATTCATACCACTCATATAAAATTTTAATATCAAATATATCACTCATAGTCATATTCATTCATATTCTCATACCATCCTATAAATTTTAATATTTCATTCCATACACTCATATTTGTATTAAAATTTTAGATTTTAGATATATAAATAACATGAAATAAAATGATATATATATATATATATAAATCTCCTCGTAATAATTTGGTAGCTTGAGATAAGATTGCATTGCATTTTTTTAAGATAAATATATGTAAAAATTCTAAAAAGAAAAAATATGATCTTAAGAGTTCTGGTGAGAACACCGGACCCTTGTAAGCTCACATCAGGAAGCCGGAGCGTGCGAGTTGCTGATCTTGCGGAGCTGCCAGGGTTGCTTGAAGTTACAGCTGCAGGGTCAGTAGGGTGCGGTGATCGCTGACGACAATCCAAGTGGACCGCGTCGGCGCTGGTATAAAAAAGCTGCCTTTAATATAGGTCTTATGGTCAAAAATGATGCAAGAAACTTAGAGACAAGCGGAAAACCACAGGCGCACCTCTTTCGTTATAAACATCATTTCTAGATCCAAAACCATTTGACCAAACCCTAATTTTCAACGGAATCTGATACCGATCTTCGCTGTTCCGTCTAATCGTCGTCTGCTTAAAAGTAAATCGTGGTTGCTTCAATCGCCGTATTTCCCTGGAGATGGTAATGTCCGGTGGAACATCGTCCGGCCGCGGCCTTGGTGTGGATCGATTTTACTGTCCACCGGCTGTGAGAAGGCAACTCGAGCAGCAGAGGCAACAGCAGCAGCAGCAGGAGGCGACGCTGCAACGGCCGGTAAAGGCTAAGCCCAAGCCTGCCAGGCCGCATTTTATGGCGGCTGCCGCCATAGATAGGCCGGTTGTTGAGAATGGAGCTGAATCCGATGATTCTTCGAAACCATCGCTGTCTTCTTCCTCCTCCTCATCATCGGCCTCTCATTCTCCTTCCCCTTCTCCTCCTCCAAGGTCAATGCCTCCAGTTGCGAACTTGGATCGATTTTTGGAGTACACAACTCCGATGGTTACACCTCAGCACTTACACGTGGTATGCAACTAACATAAGCAGAACTCATTTAAGCTTTCTTCTATTCTCTCCGTAGTGATTATTTGGTAATTGTGAAGATTGATCTGTGCAGAAAGGCAGGGGGTGGAGGACGTTCGATGGTGTGGAATTGCGTCCTTACTTCAGTCTTGGAGATTTATGGGAGTCGTTCAAAGAGTGGAGTGCTTATGGTGCTGGAGTGCCATTGGTGTTGAATAGCGGGGATTGCGTTGTACAGTACTATGTTCCTTATTTGTCTGCCATCCAACTTTATACGGACGCATCCAGGACTACATTGAGGTCAAGGTATGATTTTTATCTAACTTGATGCATTAAAAAAATTCCTAGCCTTGGCTATTAACATTTTGCAACATAATCAAATTCCTTGCATAATTTATTTTTATAGTACTCTGCAATAAATCAATCCTTGGGTTATGGAATGGAGATGTTTAACCATCCATGCTTGTGAACTGTTTGCATCCAAGGATATTTGTAATTTTTGTTATTTGGAAATCACTCTGGTAATGCAAATTATTTATTCTAACTAAGCGATATAATATTCCTCTGGAGAACTTCTTTCCCTGCTTATTACTTCGAGGGGCTTAGTTGAACTAGGCTTGTAATGTGATATCAATATTAGTTTCTGTTATGCTGGTTACACAATGAAAAATGTAGCATGGGTTTAATGCTATAATTGTGCAATGAGAATTAGCTGTATTTGCTTGGTGGACAATTATTTTTTGATGATTGAGCATCTGTTTTCTTTCATATTTATGACTGAAAAAACCAAGGTTATGTGAAGATAAAAACTTAAGTTAAGAAACTTTATTTCCCCCAAATTGTAGCAATTTAGAGATTGCATTCCTTGTTGAATTTGCAGAAGTTTGCTGTTAAAAAGTTGGTTAAAGTGAGTTTTGGTATTGGTTCAGGTTCTGTAAGGACAAATATCTTGATTATTCCTCTGAGCATTGTCTATACTAGAAAAAAAAACTTTATAGAAAAGCATAATGAACAAAATCATTATATATATAAGATTTACCTAAAAGATGTGAAGTTCAGCTAACTTTGAATAACATGAGTAAACATAAAGGCTTAGGTCTAAATGGCATGCCTCTTAAGTTTTTAATTTTGTGCACATGAGCAAAAAAAAAAAGCACCCAACTTATGTTGAAGTTATTAAATATAGTGATGGATCATTGACTAGGCTTATAATGTAGTTTTGAATTGTTGAAAATGTTTAATCACTATAAGTTACCTCAAGAATTAACACTAAATATCTTTTTGTATTGATTTTAGAGGATTCATGTCATGATTTTTTGACAAATTTTATGTTGGTTGTTGACTACCTAACGTAACTCTCCACTCTCATCTAGGGCTTGGGACATGGCAACCACTTTTCTTAGTTTACGAAAAATTTTAATATTATTTTAAAGAATAAAAAGATGCCAGATGAGTGGAGGAGCGTGTTGGTTCATATTTTTAAGAATAAAGGAGATGCATAAAAGTATGTGAATTATAGAGGAGTTAAGTTAATATGTCATACATTAACATTAAGAGAGAGTAATTGAGCTTAGTTTATAGCGTGATATTAATGTTCTCAAAACTAATTTGGATTCATGCCGGGTAGTTCTACTATAGAAGCTATATTGTTGTTGAGAGGTTTGATGGAGAAGTATAGAGAGAGTGAGGAGGATCTACATATAATATTTATTGATTTATTAAAAAACATATGATAAAGTTCCAAGAGAAGTGCTATAGAGAGTTCTAGAAAGAATAAGTTAATAATGCTTGTATTCAAGTCATTAAGAATATGTATTGAGGAGTTATTAATTGTGCTCAAACACAAAGTGGTTTGACCAAGTATTTTCCTATTTCAGTTGAATTAAATCAAGGATCAACTTTAAGTCCATATCTTTTTTCTTTAGTCATAGATATTCCTACTAGATATTTACAAGAGGATGTACCTTGGTGTATGCTTTTTTGCTTATGATATTTTTCTTGTTGATAAGACTAGAGAGGGAGTTGATGGAAAACTTGAATTATGGAGGTCAATCTTAGAGTGTAAAGGTTTTATTTGAGTAGATCTAAAATCAAATACATCGAGTGTAATTTTAATAGTAGTAAATCTTGTGGTGAAACTATGACATAGAGTGAACAAGTTATTAAAAAGAGTGCACATTTTATATATCTGAGGTATATTGTTCAAAACGATGGTGAAATAGAAGGGGATATTACTTGTAAAATTCATGTTGAATGGTTAAAGTGGAGGAATGTTGTGTGATAGAAAAGTACCCCCTCAAACTTAAGGGAAAATTTTATAAGATGGTGGTGAGACTTGTAATTTTTTATGATGTAGAATATTTGCCATTAATATAGAAGCAAAAAATTAAGTTAAGTGTTGTAGAGATGAGGATGCTCAAGCAGATGGCTTTACATTTTTAGAGACAAAATGTGAATCAAGCATATACACAAAAATGTTGGAGTAGCTCCAATGGCAGATAAGATTAGAGAGAGTCACCTTAGATGGTTTGGTCACATAAGACATTGACCTTCCAATGATTCGGTTAGGAGAGTAGATATTTTAGATTTGACCTATATTAAGAAAGCTAGAGGTAGGCCTAAAAATACTTTGTTAGAAAGTATTTGAAATTATATTTTTTATTAGATTTAAATGAGAATTTGACTCTTAATAGGACACAATGGAGAAAAATGATTCATGTAGTTGACCCCATGTAGTGCTATAAATGATTGATGTTGTTGTAGTATTGATTATAGAGATGCTGACAAAGATATTCAAAATAATGTATCTTGGAGCGTCATATTTGCAATTGATAGTTCTAATCGGTGAGTCATTTGTTTAAAGCAATAAAATTTAGAGCATTGGAAGAAATATTTATAAGATAAAGAGCTCAAGATTATTAGAACAAAGATTAAGTATTTAATGCAATTCTAGTGTGTGTTAAATTGAGAATATAAGTCTGAAGTGCTTGAAGATCAAGTGATATTTATGTGTGCTATATTTCAGCCTCTTGAATCTTTTATACAAAATATGTTAGCATAACTTTTAGAATTAAGTGTGAGTGGTTAAAGTGAAGAAGCATCTTAAAATTAATGCATGAAAAGAGAATAGGATCATGATTAAACTGCTATATTATATGGATCTGGATTTTGGATCATAAATAGTCATAAATTGCCATATTGAATATAATAATAATTAGAATGTTAAGATAGACGTATGATGAAAGTAGACATAATATATTGAGAAATTATTGTATGAGAGAGATAGTGGTACTAGCACCTAATGGAGATAAGATGGTTAAAATTTGAATTAGTTGCTTTGAACATGTACAATAGAAGGGTAAATGGTGGATCAATATACATAAAAAAATATTAATTGAAAGTTTAAAAAGGAAAGAGGTAGACTTTGGTTGCATGGATAGAGGTTGTTGGAAAAGTTCATGTAAAATAGATTAAATATTTCTAAAAACACTAAAAAAATGCTCTTTCCTAAATGTTTCACAAGCTGAGAAGTTGGGATATTATTGAGGTTTGTTAAGAGATTTTAAATTTTACTACAGAAAGAGATCTCATACAATTTTCTAGCGTCTGGACTTTCTAATTTTGATTATGTGAACTTGCATGGGAGATTGTGAGCTTCTCTCGTCTGGACTTTCTAATTTTGATTATGTAAATTTCAGTGGGAGATTGTGAGCTTCTCTCTATTATTAGCATACCATGCCATGCATGGTGAATTTAAAAATGTAGAGCTATTTATTTTATTACAATGGAGAAAAAGAATATAGAAAATTATTATTATTTTGTTACTGCTTCTAGTGATAGTTAAATGGCATTATTTATAGGTTCTTTTAAGAAAATAGAAGAAAAATATAGTACCAAAACAGGAAGAAAATATTCAATATTAGCTCCCAACCAAAAATTATATTTAAACATAAAAACTTTTCGTATGTACTGTATACAACTAGATTTAAATCTTGGGCAATCCAAATAAGGTGTATGGGTCCTTGAATGAATGTTTTCGATGCTACCCCTCAGGCTATTGTGAATAGATGTCTTCCATTTCCTGCTTGGATGTAATTGTTTGAAACACTCTACTATTAAGTATTAATCTCTTGGTAAGCACATCTCTAAACAATTGACCAATAGATACATGGTGTGCTTATCAAGCCATTATCTAGCTTTTTTCAATGAAGTGTTGGTTGATTGCATTATGCTTTGTACGATCATGCCATACCGAATCATAGGTTAAGTTGATTGCAGCCTTGTCGTTGCAATAAAGCCCTATTAGGCCATCTCGCTGAACTTCAAATCATTTATGATGAATTTTTATGACATTAGCTTACAAACATCCCAAGCTTTTGCTAGAAATTCCACTTCACAACATGATCATGCAAAAACATTTTACTTCTTATTTCTCTTTGTTTTGACGTTCCCACCAAGAAAGTGTAATATTTAGAAATTGATCTCTTATTTGCAATAGATGCTACATAAACAACATATTTATATACGTCAAGTATCAGACATTTGCTGCTTTTGAACAAAATTCCTTTCTTTGGAGTTTCTTTAAGGTACAACAATACTCAAATTATAGTCTACGTGAAGATTTTCTTTGGATTATACATAAACTAATTGAATTACACTAGCATCATAAGCCATTAGGTATGTCTGGTCTTGTGTGAGAGATAAATAAGCCTTCCTACTCGGCATTGATGCATTCCCCTATCCACTATAACATCTACCTCCGCTTATAAAAGTTTGTGATTGGGTCAATTGGTGCCCTTGTTGGTTTACATTTCATTTTTTTTTTATTTCTTTCAACAGGTTTGTGGCTTAATTTTTTTAATAAATGAAGATTCCTCGCCTCTAGTGCGAGACTTTAATTTATAGGAATTATGTCGACCTCCCCAGGTTCTTAATTTCAAACTCTAGCCAAATATTGCCTTAAAGCTTAATTTTCTTCTCCATCTTTTCTTGTTACAGTTATATAATTAGCATATACCATAAGGATGAGAACTTAATGAATCGTGTATTGACTCCCTAACTATTTTTTTCCATTCCATGATTAGCATCACTTTTGCAAACTTTCCAAGTCATAACCTTGGAGGCTGCTTTAATTCATATAATGATTTTTTAGCCTATACACTTTATTAGTAAATATTTATTCCAAACACTTTATTAGTAAATATTTCTTCGAAAACCATATGGGATTTTCATATAAACCTCTTCTTTAAGATCTCTATATATGAATTCATTTTTGAGAGGGACTTTCTATAATTTATATCCATAAT